ACGCCACCGTGCGGCTGCCTCCCACTTCTGTGACCGTGTGGCAACAGCTTGCTCCTAAGGCTACGGTATGGGCATCACCCTCACGGACAGCCGCCGTCCACCTGACCGGTCTGCCTCTTGGGGCAGGCCTCGCCCAACACCCACGCGGCTGAGATGCCATCTGCGGCTGCAGGAGCAGCAACGCTGTGTGCCAGCGCCTGCTCCACAGCATCCACGTGCACACAGACGTGTGTATGAATGGAGAGCTGTTCACCTGCACATCAGCTGGATCCAACGCTCCTGCGCAGGTGACTTCCCCTCGGAAACACAAGGTGCTTTTGGAACTTCTGCTCGCTTTTCTGAAGTGACTGAGTGAATGCTCCTGGGAGCTCCATGGCCCCTTGGATGGAGGTACAGGGAACACACTGGTCAGTGACACAGTCCCAGCCTTTGCCTCATGGAGCTCCGGGTCCACAGGGTATTCTGATATGCACAAGCACACGCATGACTGTGTAACTCAAAACTGGAACAGGCTCTCCAAGAGCAGTGCAGTAACACAACAGCGAGGCCCGGCTTACACGCGGGGAGTGCGTGGGGCGGGCGGCTGCCTCTCTGAGCTCCTGGTCACTCTCCGAGCTCCGGGTCGCTCTCCGGGCTCCTGGTCACTCTCTTTTTGATCCTAAGTCCTCTTCTCATTTCTCCTTCACATTCATTTTAAAGTCCTCCTGGGTTAGATCACGGTTAGCCAAGACAATCATTCTAGTCTTCCTAAGAACCCAGAGTCTGTAACTTTGCTATTCTAAGTTGTGGAAAAAACACGAATCCAGTGTGTGGGCTCCGTCCTACATACAAGCCACACCCAGCCCAACATCAGCCTTCAAGTCCTCGAGGGCAGCCGAGGCCAGCGACAAACACGCTCTCTGTGCCAGGGGCCCTTCCACCCAGCATCCACCACAGCAGAGGCTCTGATGCTTCCCCGGCCTCTGTGCCAGGTGTCCGTGTCACCTGAGCTGTCGGGTCTGTGTCACGCAGTGGCATTCACCTAGGCCAGGAGCAAAGTTCCTGGATGATGGGGGCAGGTCACACACAGGGCGCCGAGTTCAGGGTTCCCGTGTATGTTTGGTGTCTTGTTTGTATCTAGGAGGTAGGTCACCTGGAGGCCATGCCTTGGCGGAGGAAGCTGCATGCGGAGTGGAGGGGCAGGTGGCAGCACAGGCTGGGGAGGCTGCACTGCGGCAGGAAGGTCAGCCCGGCCACACTCTCTGCGCACCTCGGGGCCGCCCGGCTTGCCGGCACCCCCGCCTCACCAATGCTGGGATCCCAGCGCAGGGTCCTCTGTGCCTATCCCAAGGGGACTGTATAGACCGCTTATTTCCTTCTGGGCTGTCACAGATGCTGTGAGAGGCCTCCTCCTTTTTTCAGGAACACAGCTGCAGTCTGTGAGCCTCCAGAACCACAGTAGGCCCTGCTCAGGCAGCCCTGCTGAGCGCTGGGGCAGTGCAGGCGTCGCTGCCTGGCTCTCAGGATGCCTGCTGTGCTTTATGATCGTGAGATGTCCCCGTAGAACAATAAACGGCCACTGCCTGCAACGCTGGACTGAGACTCCTGAGACTCTCAATGTGAAAGGCGCCTTACAGACCTGCCAGTCCACCCCTCACTCCACGTTGTCAGGAACGGGAGGAGGAGACGGCAGAGACGCACACACGAAAGTTCTCACAGGGTGAGGCGCTCCTGATAATATGCACCTCCCCAGTAAGTCCCAGGGAGACTGCATCACCCCCAGCCTGCTCTCACAGAGCTCACGTTTCAAGTCAGTGGCCAAAACGTCCTTGTCTCGTCTTCGGTGTCCGTGGCTGGCAGTGGTTCGGAATGCCGGTCACAGAGCTCTGCTTTCATCATGGGGCATGAGTGTCTGCATGCTTTAAACCCCGTCTCCTCCCTCACATACAGCTCCTGTCCTCAGACAGGTAACTGGGTGCTGTGGAAGGTGACATGCTCCCCAACACTATCCCCGCCCCTTTCCAGACCCCACAGGGCCCCAGGTTTACCCCAGCTGGGAGTCCCCCAACATGTTACCAGTAATGTTAGTAATTTTCCGGACAGCTTTCTCTCCAGCATCCCCCTAGAGTACTTCCCCAAGTGCAAAGTCCACCATTTAAGCCCTCTTCTGAAAATGACTTAAATGCCCCTGAGGGCTGTGCCTCTTCTGTAGAAAGCTGGCTGTTTAAGAGGCAAGGCCATGCATGCCCAGAGCATGGAAAATCACACAGTAGAGATACGGGAATAACAGGCTTGCTATGAAACCCCACGGGACAACACTTCTGTGAGCACACTGGGTACATCACAGGAAGAGGAGCAAGCCAGGGCAGCCACGGGCAGCAGAACCCGCAGACCTGACTCTGCTCAAGCTCTCCTGCGCAGGGCTGCGGGTGCCCAAGACAGAAAGGGGCCCCCAAACCTTCCTCTGAGCTGGCTGAAGCCATAATTTCGCCATTCACTACATTCACAAAGGCTCGTCGCACGCAGCCCATGAGTTAGGGTCTTTTCTCCAAGCAACTCAGCGATGTCCCTGCAGCACTCTGAGAGGAGGAGCTTTGGGAGAGCCGCACAGGCTTGGGCTTGCCACAAACAGGTCACGTCACAGGCTGCGCTTGTCCTCTGTGTCACAGTGTTTCAAACATCACAGTTTTTCTATGAACTTTGATTTTACTTTGCTACTTAAGTATAATAGCAACGCAGCTAGGTGCGGTGGCTCACGCCTGTAATCTCAGCACTTTGGGAGGCTTAGGTGGGCGGATCACCTGACGTCGAGTTACTTTTGTAACCTAACTACAAATAATGAACATAAAATTACTATCTTGAACTTTAACACATGGGAACTAAACCCAAAAACGATGACCGGTTCGCCCCCTACTTGAACTCTATCTGTAAATAAATGCTGCTATCAATGACTGATTACGAACCAATACCCACACAGTAGTCACGCACGCAACACGGGCAGTTCCCTGATCATGACCAACCTGCGTGGAGCGATCGCTGCCGTCTCCACCTGCAACTGCCAACGACCCGCCACACAGGACCCCAAATTCCACAGCGACTTCACAGAAAACCCAGGAAGGTGAAGACGTGGTCAGGAGGGACTTTCGCGCACGAAACTTCAACAGCACACAGAAGCAGAAGGCAGGCGGAACAAGACACTCAAAGGGCAGCAACAAGATGGTGAGCAGGGAGGCATGGGAGTTGGGAGCCCCAGAAGCTCTGCAGATGAGGAGGCGCTGACGGCGCTGGGCTGTGCTCCCTCTGCAGTGGCCGCACTGCCCGGGCTCGCGTGGTGCTGGAGGACCTGACTATTGCCATGCCACAGCCACTTGCCCCACAGGCTGAGTCCAGGTTTACGCTGATTTCTGCTAGGTTTTACAGGGATTTAGATCCCAGGTTCTAGCTCTTGGCTCTTCTTGGAAACTGGATGAGGACACCTGCCCCACCTTCTCACCCTCCTGATCCCAGATGGGTGATTGTGGTGGTGGTGGTCCTAAATGCTGCCTCAGTGAGGAGGCTGCAGGCGCTATGCTGAGGGCTCTGCCCCTATGGCTGATGCAGGAGTGTGTGTCTAAAACCCATAGACCCCAACGTCAGACACTCACACTCTCAGCAGGCTCCGGCACCCAGCTGCCTTACTCTCACGTGTGTGTCCACCACTCTTGCTGTGTCAAGAGGGGAGACAACGAGTTTCAAAACAACTGCACTGTACTGAGGGAGGAGGTGGCACCCTCACTAGAGCATGTCCGGTTAGGAGGATGGGGGTGGGGTGCTGTCAGTGCCTGGGGGGCAGTGGCAGCTGGGGCCTGAAGAGTAAGCTTGGAGTTCCCGCAGAGGATGTCGGTTGCCATGGCTCACCAGGGGGTATTGGGAGCCACCAGCAGGTGGGGAGAAATCAAAGTGTGTGGGCTCTGGCTGCCCTGTGGTGAACCCTTGGGAATCTGCCCAGCCTTCTGACCTACAATGCCACCTCTGCATGCCTTGGTTCAGACCGTGCTCCCACCAGACCTGGGGAGGCTGTGCGTCCCAGCATGGCTGCTCTCAGCTGGCTCCACTGTCCTGCCTCGCCCTGCAGGGTCTGCACATGGCCAACCGATGTTGTCCAGGCTGGTCTCAAACTCCTGTCCTTAAGCCATCCTCCCACCTCGGCCTTGGGATGATAGGCATTAGCCACTATGCCTGGCCGGCTGTGAGCCTTTTTAAAGAAAGCAACCGTGTTAGACAAAACTATGTGCCCCCTGTTCTCCCTGTTCTTAACAGCACTTGACTTTGTTTAGGGCAGCAATGTGTTTAATGGAGGCCTCACTGCCCAGCCTCCGCTGCAGGTGGGGACACCACGTGACACCACACTAGCCTCTGAGGTAGGGGGAGCCACTAGGTATGGATTGTGGGAGATCTTTAGAGAAGGGCAGAGCCAGGGCCGGGGGCAGTGGCTCACGCCTGTAATCCTGGCACTTTGGGAGGCTAAGGCAGGAGGACGGCTTAAGCCCAGGAGCTCAAGCCCAGCCTGGGCAGCACAGTGAGACCCCATCTTTACCAAAAAACGAAAAGTAGCCCAGTGTTACAGTGCCTGTAGTCCCACCTACTAGGGAGGTGGAGGTGGAAGGATTGTTTGAGTATGGGAGATAAGGCTGTGGTGAACCATGCTTCCACCCCTGCACTGCAGCCTGGGTGACAGAGTGAGACCCTGTCAAAAGAAATAAAAGAAAAAGAAAGAAAGGAAGGTGGGAAGAACCAGCTAGCTACCTTTGCTGGTCCTCCTCCTCCTCCTTCTCGGAACACAAAGCTCATGCTGGAGCAGGGCAGCCATCTTGCCAACACCGGGCCGCATGGCACTCTCCCCTGTGGCCACAGCTGGCTCTGGGCTGCCTGCTTCCATGCTTGTCACATTGGAGGACAGAACACTTGGGGTTTAGAGCCCTGCAGCTGGCTCTGTCACAGGCAGCTGAACCCAGGTCAGGAGACACACAGTGAGTACTCACAGTCTGCTGCGTAGTCCGCCTGGGAGGGCTGCACAGGCGCACCGTCTGCGCTGTGTGGGGTGGGAGTGGAGCTGTCAGCCTGTGCCTTACGGACAAGTGCTGCCAGGGGGTGATCTGGATCCACCACCTTCAAGGGCTGGAGACAGAGAAGACACAGGCTGAGCGTTTGGGATTCAGAACCGTGCAGAGCTCTTCTGCTGCACAAGACTCACCCCAGGACGCAGTGTACACGGCTTGAAATCACACACACGCTCGCACGCACCCAAGGAGGTCCTAACTAGCTGTGGACAGATGCACCAGGTGGCCGTAACTCTCAGAGGAACCGAGTGAACACAGGGTTTCAATTTCCGAAATACCGCCAAGAGGATGACAGATGAACAATCAAGACCAGTTTGAAAGTGGGAATGTCTAACCCCATGCAAAACTTGAAACTGTCTTTCCTTATAGGAGTTTCTGATTTTCATTACCAATGGTTCTTCCAGTCCAATCAATCAGCAATCATTCCCTCAAAAGGTCACCCACACTGCACGACTGCTGAAAACCAGATGCTTGAATCAAGTAGACTCCAGTTTTTCATGTTGCAAATGGCAGAGTGTGTGAATCAACCACAAGATAGTGCTGAGCAGTTTCTCCGCACAGGAGGGGAAGATCAGAAGCGCAAACATTTATTTAAAAACAATCTGTGACGGAGAGCACCTGAAGATGCATATATCCTGATCACTTATAAATCCAATTCTGTAATGAAACCACAACTGAACAATGTTCTTTCTTTCTTTGTGAAACAGTCACTCCATCTCGCAGGCTGGAGTGCAGTCACGTGGTGTCAGCTCACTGCAGCCTCCACCTCCCAGGTTCAAGCAATCCTTGTGCCTCAGCCTGCTGAGTAGCTGGAATTACAGGTGTGTCCGCCATGCCTGGCTAATTTTTGTATTTTTAGTAGTAATGGGGTTTCACCATGCTGGCCAGGCTGATCTTGAACTCTGGACCTCAGGTGATCCACCCGCCTCGGGCTCCCAAAATGCTAGGATTACATGTGAGCCACCACACTCGCCCAGACAATGAAACGATTTTCAAGTCTTAACCAACATTCTACTTATTCTAAGTATCTTAGAGAGTGAAACTGTCATAGAATGATCAAATGATCATAAGCAAATGCTCACGAAGTTTATAAGATAGGTAAGAAACCAAAGAAACAGATGCTCTGTCACCCAGCTAAAATAAAAAGTGCAGATACACCTCAATGATAAAATAAGATACAACACACAAGAATGACACGCTTCTTATTTTCCAAAATTACATGAGAAGAAGTTTTGTTGTGGCATTAAAAATATAGTTCAACAATAAGATAAAAACCTTCATCAGCTCTTCCAGGCGGTCACACTTCTTGGAGGCAAAGAGAGAAGGATGCAGGTAATTCCCATCTTCTTCATCATCATCATCTTCATTGTCAGAGCTGACCCCTGATTCTGAAATCAAAATCACGTTTGAAGACTTTGGTGTATGGTGAGAAAAAAGGTATAAATTAATTATGCAAAAACTTAGAAGCAACCAAAGGCCAACATAGATAAGTCATTTCTTAGTTATCTGTCCAGAAAGCACTTCTGGAAAAGTTTCCCCAGTCGCCCAACTTGTTCAGAAGCAGGCCAGACAGTAATGACTGCGACCTTTAGCCACTTTGAGACTCCTTGCCAGCACCCTGCACCAGCCGCTCTGAGGCATGGTATGCTCTTTTTTCTTTTTCTTTTTAAAAAGGCAAAAACTGTACTGATTTATGAAAAGTAAAATAATAGTGACAAATAAAAAAAAAACCTATAACAAACCTGAAGATGAGGTCTGTAATAAGATTTACACAACTGATTTAAAACCGATTTTGGCTGAAGAGAACAAAATTCTGTGGAAGGGCCTGGCGCAGTGGCTCATGCCTGTGATCCCAGCACTTTGGGAGGCTGAGGTGGGCAGATCACCTGAGGTGAGGAGTTTGAGGCCACCCTAGCCAATATGATGAAACCTTGTCTCTACTAAAATCATAAAAATTAGCTGGGCATGGTGGCATGTGCCTGTGATCCCAGCTACTTGGGCGGCTGAGGTGTGAGAATCACTTGAGCCCAGGAGGCAGAGGTTGCAGTGAGCTGAGATCATGCCATTGCACTCCAGCCTGGTTGACAAGAATGAGACTCTGTCTCCAATTAAAAAAAAATTCAATAGAAGATATATATACACATATAAACATATATGAATAGACTTGTCAAAATACCATCTTTATTCAAAATACAGCTGGCTTTTGCAGTAAGAACTCCAAAATAGAGACACCATTATAAAACATGGCTTAAAACAGATAATCCAAGTAAAAATGTTCATTTTTGTGGCCATGTATAATTGTGCCATATGGCCCTGAACACTATGGTACATGAAAAATCCAACAGGGGATGGAACAGTTTTCTCTATGAAATGTTAAGAAGGCAAAACGTGGGGAACAGTTTCCCACCCAGATGATTATGTTCTGACAGCATCAATATTCAATGATATTTCATTTACGTATAAAATACCAACCAATAATTGAATAAAGGTGCCCCAGCAGGATGATGATGACGTCTCAGCGGGGGGATGCCAGACACATGCTAGCAGCTCTAGTCTGGCTTTTGCCCACGCATCTGTGAGAACGTGCGTCTCTATGCTTTTCCCAGAACCAGCCACCGCCTGCTGTCCCCACCACACAGGCCCGCAGTCTGGACGGAACAGATGCTGTTGTACCTACTTTTTTTCTCGTCACTTTTGTTTTCTGCCAGGACGGTGTAGCGTCCTTCCTTCATGGCTTTCTGGATGAACTTATAGTAGGGGTTGAGGTAGTGGTCGAAGCGCAGAAAGTCAAACTGCGAGTTCCGGGCCTGCTTGGCCTTCAGCATGATCTCAAACTGCGCTCCCTGCCTGCACACGAAGCTGGCCGTGCGCTCGATGATGGCGTGCATTTTGGCAGTTGGCGGCTATGGGAAACACACACATTCATGTCACCCACGTGTCCTCTTGTCCACTGGCCACGTGATTTCACTAAGATGCAGCAATGACTCTGGTTTTACTGTCAGTCTTAAGAGATAAGAGACTTTAAGCTGGAAGAGCCCAGGCTGTTCGGACTTGCCTGTCTCCAGATCTTGAAAGCATTTTGCAGGGGAGAAAACGTGCCCACTGAGGCAGGCCACGCCACCTTGGTATACACCCAGGGAGGCCACCTCTTTTTGCACCCAGTCACCATCCTTCTATATATCGGGGTCTTTAAGCTATGATGGGGTTCAGGGGGTTTGTGAATCCTTTGTGTACACAAATTTTACATAGAAGCATTTTTCTAGGGACACGGTACACGTTCCATGGTTCTCAATCATCAGAATCACTGCTCTTTCCCTTTGCTTGCGAGGACTAGCTCTCCCAGCTTGGAGGCTCCCTCTTACAACACAACCCTCTGGACATCCAACAAAAGCCATAAAAGTAGGCCAAGTCTGTCTTCTGCACCTGAGCCCTGTTCCTCACCCCTGCACAGTTCCTGGCTCACTGCCATTTCCACTTAAAGGCAGTGTCCCAAGCTGAAAACCACCTAGGCATGGTCTGGCCAGAGCAGACGGGAGACTCCAGGTGAGTTCTCTCCATTGTCAAAGCCCTCCCTCATCCCTTCACCAGCTAAGGAGTCACCTTGACGACCTCATGCGCTCAGCATTTCCTGCCCACAAATGAACCTTGTTAGACCAAAAGCGGAAAGCCACACATCTAAGATACCTTTAGTATCAACAAAGAGATTAACACGAGGAAATTACTGGCAAATAAAACTGGCAATTATTCTCATTAAAAATGGATGGCTGGCCTTCCAGGGAGCCATGCGGCAGAGCTAGGTGCCAGGTGCAGAATCGGGTGCTGAGTGCAGCGGAACCACTGACATTTAGGGATGTGGCCATAGAATTCTCTTGGGAGGAGTGGCAATGCCTGGACACTGCACAGCAGAATTTACATAGGAATGTGATGTTAGAGAACTACAGAAACCTGACCTTCCTGGGCAGACAAGCGACCTCATCAAGCAGCTCCCCGACACCACAGCCAGGTAAATCCAGAGAGATGGGGAAAAACCAGCACAAAAAAGATGAAACCATCAAAGACCAGAACACCTCTTCTCCTTCTCGGCATCACAGCTCCTCAACAACACAGGATCACAACTTGACCGAGGAGTGCGACCAATTGGCGGAAACAGGCTTCAGAAGGTGGCTAATGACAAACATTTCTGAGCTAAAGGAACATGTTCTAACTCAATGCAAAGCAACCAAAAACCCTGAAAAAAAGTTAGACAAAATGCTAATTGGAATAACCAGCATAGAGAAGAACATAGACGACTTGACGGGGTTGAAAAACACAGCGCAAGAACTGCGTGAAGCAAACACAAGTTTTAATAGCCAGATTGATCAAGGAGAAGAAAGGCTATCAGAGATTGAAGATCAACTCAATGAAATAAAAAGAGAAGGCAAGGCTGGGCACGGTGGCTCAGGCCTGTAATCCCAGCACTTTGGGAGGCTGAGGCGGGTGGATCACGAGGTCAAGAGATCAAGACCAACCTGGTCAACATGGTGAAAACCCGCCTCTACTAAAAATACAAAAAATTAGCTGGGCATGGTGGTGCGTGCCTGTAATCCCAGCTACTCAGGAGGCTGAGGCAGGAGAATTGCCTGAACCCAGGAGGCGGAGGTTGCGGTGAGCTGAGATCGCGCCATTGCACTCCAGCCTGGGTAACAAGAGCAAAACTCCGTCTCAAAAAAAAAAAAAAAAAGAGAAGGCAAGACAAGAGAAAAAAGAGTGAAAAGAAATGAACAAAGCCTCCAAGCAATATGGGATCATGTGAAAAGACCTAATCTACGCTTGATCGGTGTACCTGAATATGATGGGGAGAATGAATCCAAGCTGGAAAACATGTTCCAGGATATTATCCAGGAGAACTTCCCAAGCCTAGCAAGGCAGTCCAACATTCAAATCCAAGAAATACAGAGAACTCCACAAAGATATTCCTCAAGAAGAGCAACCCCAAGGCACATAATCGTCAGATTCACCAGGGTTGAAATGAAGGAAAAAATGCAAAGGGCAGCTCCAGAGAGAAAGGCAAGGTCACCCACAGAGGGAAGCCAATCAGACTCACAGCAGATCTCTCTGCAGAAACCCTACAAGCCAGAAGAGAGTGGGGGCCAATATTCAACATCCTTAAAGAAAAGAACTTTCAACCCAGAATCTCATATCCAGCCAAACTTAGCTTCATAAGTGAAGGAGAAATAAAATCCTTTATGGACAAGGAATTATTGAGAGATTTTTGTCACCACCAGACCTGCCCTACAAGAGACCCTGAAAGAAAGCATGGAAAGGAACAAGTACCAGTCACTGCAAAAGCAAACCAGTTGGCAAAGGCCAAAAATGCAATGAAGAAAATGAGTCAACTAACGGGAAAGAAAACCAGCCAGTGACAAAATGGCAGAATCGAATCCACACATAACAATATTAACACTGAACGTAAGTGGCCTAAACACTCCAATCAAAAGACACAGACTGGCAAACTGGATAAAAAGTCAGAACCCATCGGTGTGCTGTATTCAGGAAACCCATCGCACATACAAAGACACACACAGACTCAAAATAAAGCGATAGAAGATTTACCAAGCAAATGAAGAAAAAAAAAAAAAAGCAGGGGTTGTAATACTAGTCTCTGATAAAATGGACTTCCATAAAGATCAAAAGACACAAAGAAGGACACTACATAATGGTAAAAGGATCAATCCAACAGGAAGAGCTAAGTATCCTAAATACATACACCCCCAACACAGGAGCACCCAGATACATAAAGCAAGTTCTTAATGACCTAAAACGAGATTTAGACTCCCACTCAATAGTAGTGGGAGACTTCAACACTCCACTGTCAATATTAGATCAATAAGACAGAAAATTAACAAGGCCATCCAGGACTTGAATGCAGAGCTGGACCAAGTGGACCTAATACACATATACAGAACGCTCCACTCCAAATCCACAGAGTATACATTTTTCTCAGCACGAAATTGCACATACTCTAAAATTGACCACATCATTGGAAGCAAATCACTCCTCAGCAAATGCAAAAGAACAGAAATCATAACAAACAGTCTGTCAGACCACAGTGCAGTCAGACTAGGACTCAGGATCAAGAAACACACACAAACCCACACAACCACTTGGAAACTGAACAACCTGTTTCTGAGTGTTGACTGGAAACGCTGTCTCAAAAAGAAAGAAATACTAGACTTCCATAGAATCAACCCAAATGCCCATCAATGATAGACTGGACAAAGAAAACGTGGTACATATATACCATGGAATACAACGCAGCCATAAAAAAACGAGTTTGTGTCCTCTGTAGGGACTTGGATGAATCTGGAAACCATCATTCTCAGCAAACTAACACAAGAACAGAAAGCCAAACACCGTATGCTCTCATTCATAGGTGGGTGTTGAACAACGAGAACATGTGGACTCCGGGAGAGGAGCATCACACACTGGGGGCAGTTGAGGATAGGGAGAGACAGTGGGGGGTGGGGGGTGGGGTGGGGAGGAATAACACGGGGAGAAATGCCAGATACAGTATGCACCTGAAGTAAATAAATTAATTTAAAAAAAAAAAATGGATGGCTAAGAATTCAGGGCTTCATCCTTCACAAAATATAAACGGCTTAATCTCTAATTTAATTTTTGAACTAATAACATCCTTCACACTTAAAAAGGATAAATGTCTACAATTAAACTTATTCACTAATCCCCAAATAAATTAAATTCCATGTTAAAGGCCCACTGCATGTATGTGGATCACAACTTGGACTTTCTGTGGCTCTGGCTAGTCATTGTTAAAACGGAATATTCCACAAACACATCAATAATTATGACTGCTTCATAATAACGATCCTTAAAGGAAAATATGATACTCCCAGTTTAGGCTTTCTTTATGGACCAAACCAACTTGTTGGTCTAAAATTTCTTAAAAATAGGCCCATTTATTACATAATACTACCACTACCATGGTTAGAAAGCAATGAGGAGGTAACTTTACAAAAAAAACAAAGTATCTTATGAACATAGGTTGGCTACCAACCCTGAATAAGGTTTAAAAGTATGTGGTTTAGGGCCAGGCACGGTGACTCACGACTCACGCCTGTAATCTAGCACTGTGGGAGGCCAAGGTGGGTGCTTCATGAGGTCAAGAGATCAAGACCATCCTGACTAACATGGTGAAATTCCATCTCTACTAAAAATACACAAAATTAGCTGGGCATGGGGGCATGTGCCTGTAGTCCCAGCTACTGGGGAGGCTGAGGCAGGAGAATCGCTTGAACCTGGGAAATGGAGGCTGCAGTGAGCTGAGATCATACCACTGCACTCCAGCCTGGGCAACAGAGCGAGACTCTGTCTCAAAAACAAAACAAAACAAAACAAAACAAAAAAGTATCTAGTTTGGAAAAAACCATTCTTTATTATGCAGACTTTAGGTAAATTGTTTTCCATTTAAGAATATCATGATCATTCCTACTAAACAATGAGATTTAAAAAATACAGACAACATATAAACATGCATACGTTACAACACCTGAGGAAAGGAAACGTTTTTCTAACTGAAATCCAACGGGGAAGGCTTTTGTTTAGTAAAGCTGATGGAGCCCCGACAGGGGGCTAACACCGCTCCCCCTCCTTCAAAATTCCATTAATATGAACTCAAACTTCAGAGGAGGCACTGGGAGAGGGAATTAAGATATCTACAGGTCAGAAAACCCACAGGAATGTAAGGTTTCCTAAGAGCTTTGGAAAAGGCTTGAGCTCAGACCCATCGAGGGACCAGGAAGGAGGTGGTAGGACATGAAGAAGGGAAATTATTTAGCAAGGAACCCCAGGGGCAGCGGGGCCAGCCCTCTCCTCATGGGATTGGGGAGAAAAAACTCAAACACCAGCTTTGCCCAGAGCCCCAAGTAAGTATCAGACTGAGTCAAAATTCAAAGGCAAAAATACAAATACAGAAATATTAGCAGTAAACATAGGAAAATATCTTCAAACTCTTGGGGGTGGGAAAAGTCTTCCAAAATAAGCTTTAAAATCCTGAAGCGATAAGGAACAGAGGAACACATGCCACTCTGTATCTGCAGGGAGAGTTGTGTGATCAGTTACAAGACAAAGCACCGTGAGAAAGTATCTGCAGGAGACACTGAGGACCAAGAGCTCACGTTCATCAGACACGAGGAGTCCTGGCCAATCACTCCACAGCAGTGGGAGAATCAATCAACACTTCTTCCCTCCACACCCACTTTCCATGGTCACATACTACCTAAATTATGATGAAATAACGCTCTCATCTGCAAAGATCTGATAAAGCTTAACTTTAGTGCTTTAAAGCTCTAGAGTCGGTCCAATGGTTGGAACCCCAGGCCTGACCCTCACACGTCTAACTTAGGACAGTTACTTTTAACTTTCCAAATCTTAACATCTGGAAGCAACTATATCTACTTCATAGAGTTTATTTTTTATTTTTTGAGATAGGATCTAGCCCTGTTGTCTAGGCTGGAGTACAGTGGTATCATATCAGCTCACTACAACCTCCCCCTCCAGGGTTCAAACCATTCTCCCACCTCAGCCTCCTGAGCAGCTGGTACTACAGGCATGTTACCACCATGCCTGGCTATTTTTTTAAAAAATTTTTTGTAGAAGCGGAGTTTCACCATATTGCCCAGGCTGGTTTCGAACTCCTGGGCTCAAGTGACTCTCCCACCTTGGCCTCCCAAAGTGCTGGGATTACAGACGTGAGCCACTGCACCTGGCCTGTAGAGTTATTTTCAGTATTAACTGAAGAGATATGCCTAAAGAAGCACACAGTACAGTGTCTGGTCCATAGCAGGTGCTCAATAAAGGCTGGTTCTGTTATCATTCGTTAACAAAGTAAATGTTGCACCTAACAGCAACTATCAAATCCTTCCCCACTTTTCTCCTGCTCATAAAATGTGGGCACAGGAGGAAAGCGGGGGAGACTTGCAGCGAGCAGATTTCCCTTGCAACTGCGGCGTCCTGCTCACGGCGACCACTGCTGCTGAGGTCCTCACGCTCTCGGGAGGTGAGTCAAGTGTTAGAGAACGGGCAGGCCAGGTGAGACCCTCTGAGCCTGTGGCTCAGAGCCCCATGGGCACCATCTGCTCCGGAGACTCAGGAGAGGAGGCGGGTGAGAGGACAGGTTGAGCAGCAGCCTCTCCACCTCCCACCCACGGCCACTGCCTCAGTGCCCGACGGACCCAAACACAACAAAACACAATGGGGGACGGGCCCGGGGTGGGGACCCTGGGCAGGACCCTAGGAAAGGGACAGCAACAGTACGTGCCACGTTGGCACAAATGATGCCGGGCTACGATGTATGAAGAAACAGATCCTGACGTCCCGTGGAAGATAAAAATGTGCACATGGAATCACTCTGTAAAGCTGAAAACAAAGCTCTATGACCACCCTAGGGGCTGAACTCAGAGGCTCAGCTGGCCTCCGGGCCAGGAGAGCTGCGTGGGAGTCTACCACGGGTAGGGCGAGGATCAGCAGGACCCAGTGTCTCAAGCAGGAGGAAGAACACAACTCTGGGTGACATCGCTTCTTATTTTTAAAAAAGTATTTTCCTTTTTTAAGACAGGGTATCGATCTGTCACCCAGGCTGGAATGTAGTGCCACAATCATAGCTCACTGCAGCCTCTACCTCCTGGGCTCAAGTGATTTTCCTACCTCATCCTCCCAAGTAGCTGGGACCACAGGCTCGCACCACCACACTGGGTTATTACTTGTACTTGTCTGCAGAGATGGGAGCTCACTATGTTGCCCAGCCTAGTCCCTCCTGGCCTCAAGTGATCCTCCCACCTTAGTCTCCTAAAGGGCTGGGATTCCAGGTGTGAGCCACTGTACCCAGCCTGGGGTGCCATAATTTCTAACGACTTCTTACTCTTCATCCAAAAGCCTCAGGGAACCTGTTATCATTAGGTTCTAAACCAACATTTTAGTTTAAAAACCAAGAACCTCCTGAAGTACCTGCTGTCTTTACCAACCACTCCAACCTTCCCTTGTGGCTGACTTAAACCAAGCCCTGCCCCTGCGGCGGCAGTGGTCTACTTAAACACGAGTCAGCAATTCTGAGGCCTAGTCACCAAAACAACTGATGACGCAGACACTTCCGTCTTCTACATTTTCTCCACCGACATGGACACCACAGTGTATAACTTACACAATGAATTACTGCCAAAAAAAAAAATCACAGTAACTATGAGAATGAAATACTGACACTGGCATAAAGTGAATGAAAGACGCAAATGAGAGACTCAGTCAAGCACTGTTTCCACAGAGTCAAAACAACTCTCTACTCAGGAGGCCTTTTATAAAATGGATCATTAGAAGAAACTTGAGTAAGATAGCAAGTCACCACACACTAAGACTTATTTTGCTCTCCAGTGAGTGACAAGTACGTTTGATTCTGGAAGACTGTTAAGAGCTTAGCGATGCTTATTTTGGCTGAGAACACAAAGCCATGAAATATTTTAATAGAAATGAAGGCAAGAAAAATTCTCTTATACCTCTATACTCATATTTGAATAAAAAATTCAAAAATAATTAACACTAAAAACAAGTAAAATTCCAGTCAACCTGACATAAACTTTTTAGCATGAAATAGAGATGGAACATTTAGTATTTAATCAAAATGGGGCAACTGTGATCTTTAAAGCTTCATTTTCATTTGTCTCTCATGCATAATAAGCATATTTCAGAACAAGCTGGAATACAACGTATACCAATACACAGAAATTAATACAAGTCTTAGGATATCAAATCTTTGAGTAACTTCAGCTTTACTACAGCAAAATGATCAACACTAGAAACAGAGAAACACACCTGTGTAGTAATACAGTTTGGATCTGTGTCCCCACCCCAATCTCATGTCCAACTGTTGTCCCCAGTGTTGGAGGTGGGGCCTGGTGGGAGCTAACTGGGTCATGGGGGTGGGTCCTTCAGGAAGAGTTTAGCACCATCTCCTCGGTGCTGTTCCCGTGGGAGACAGAGAGTGAGCTGTGGTAAGATCTGGTCATTTAAAAGTGTGTGGCACCTCCCTGACTTCCTCCTGCTCTGGCCATGAGTCAAGACATGCCTGCTCCCTCTTCACCTTCCTCCGTGACCCCGAGCTTCCCGAAGCCTCCCAGAAGCAGAAGCTGCCAGGCTTCCTGTACAGCCTGCACAAGTGCAAGCCAATTCAACCTCTTCCTTACAAACTACCCAGCCTCAGGTATTTCTTCATAGCTGTGCAAGCACAGACCAACACAAGTAGTAACTACACTAGGCAAAATCCAAACGTTATTTTACCCATATTTGCAAGAATGAAAGAGAGGGAGAGGATATGTAAATGAATAAGGGAAGAGAAGGAATGCACTGGAGGCAGGAATTACAAGGGCTATTTTTATATCACACTTCATCATACAATGAAGGGTAAGAAAAAAAAATAAAAGGCAAGAACCATCAAATTCATGCTGAACGACGTGAGAGTGCCAACAGTGAGAGCAGAGGCAAGGCGAGACGCTCCTTCTGTGTGGCATTTCCCCAGCACCCACCATGCAGCGTGGATTCAGGATGCGGGACACAAACAAGCATCCGAACGCTTGCACCTGTGCCACCTGTAATCCAGTTAGGGAATGTCCAAGAAAAAACTCCCCGCTGCGCGTGAACACTGGAGTCCTTCCCAGGTACAGACGTGCAGCGACAAGACGCTGAAGCTCCCTGGTACACATACGAACATCCCATCGGGCATGGGGACTGACGATGGCATCTTAGTTAAGACCATGGTTCCCAACCACCATTTATTAGCCAAATTCTTGACTATCCTACATCTCAGTCTCTTCATCTGCTCGAGAGAAATAGTAACGGCAGTTCTCTTATCGGGCTGTTAGCATTAAGTAAGATAATATGTAAAAAGCAGATTAGCACAGTGACTGGAATATAGAAATCCCTCAATGAATATTCAGGAGAAAAAAGAAAAAAATCCTGGTTGGGGCCTTAACACGTGTTATAACTTAATTTAACGTGATGTAACTGAAATAGCAGGACAGGTCAATGCTGAACAGACAGTAACCGGCTGCAAAGCCCTCAGAGGAAAACCAGGGTGGAATTCCTCTTCATCAGTGGAAGGGCAGCCTGGAGATGCCTCAGGGACCTGATCACAACACAGAAAACCACCAAGAAAATGTGACATGAAGTCCCCACGAAAATCACAGTTTAAAAAGCCAGAACAAAGCAATGTTACTGAAATCAACTCTCTCTCGAGCAAGAGTGCTTTTACGTCTGTGTGGTTAACAGTCCACTTGCCATTGATTTTTAGTTTTTCCAAGCTAGTAAAATCTGGGAATTCAACTATATCACCTCTGAAGCACACCCAACTCCCGAGTCCCTGATGCTCCAGCAGAGTTCTTTCGCTACCATTCTTCTCTTTTTATTGGAGGAAAATAAGTAGGGTGTGATCTTTTTCTCCACCAACTTACAAGCCATTTTAAAGCAGAATATGCCTGAAAAGCAGCTGTAATCATTATTGGGCTTTCTCACAAACAAGACTGGATCAGGACAAATGACGATGACAGCTAGTGCTCATGAGGAAGGACACATACCAGTTCCACATCAGACGGGACGTTCAATCCTAAGGGGGCAACGAAGGGCTCTTCATTTTCCTCTAAAGTTTCAGCCTCATTTTTTTCTGCATAAAAAGAAAATGTAAAAATTCAGAACAATGCAGGGAGGAAGGCACCTGCCAACAGCAGGCAGCAAGCCGGAAGCATGTGACTGGCTGGCTGTCCCTGCTTCTTTACCTTCTGTCATTACTTCTAGAAATCATTTTCAGCTTTCTCTTCTACTCCACCACATAAAGTGGAACTCACTTTACAAAATTCCAAATGAGGCAGGAGAGATGGCGGTGGTGGGGCGGTGGTGCAGCAGGAGTGTGTATAGGGTCAGAGTGCATGGTATTCCCTCGGTATATGCAAGGGATTGTTCTAGGGCCCCTGCAGACACCAAAATCCACATGTGCTCAAATTCCAAAGTTGGCCCATTTGAACCCACACATATAAAAAGCTGGCCCTCCATCTATGCGAGTCTCGCATCCCTCAATCTGCTATCTGGCTGAAAAAAATTCCTCATATAAGGACCTCCACAACTCAGACCTGTGTTGTCCACAGGTAGCTGCAGTTTAAACCCCTGCCCTGCCGTGCCCTGCTGCTTCCAGGATTCTGCTAAATGTCTCTGCTCCTCTCTGCTTCCTCATAGGCCGTGAAGGAGTCGTAGCTTCTACTCCCAGGGCCGAGTGGGGCTTAGGTAAGATAACCTATGTGACCATCTCTACCACAATCCTCCACACTTAGCAGGTACTCAATCCGTGTTCCTTTTCCCCTTCTGCTTCTCTTTCGGGTATGTATGTATTTAACTGCTGTCACTAAGGTAGCTCTCCAACTACTTCTGTGGATTCCTGACAGCATAACACAACACAAGGTAATCAATTCCTAGACAACTGATTTTCAGCTTTGAATTGTAAACTACCTGGGCATAACTGCCAAGATTCCCCCACCCAAGCAAACTGCCTTTCAAAAATAATCAATAATTTTCCATTTCTATTTATTCATTAACCATTTACTTAACAAACATTTGTCTGCTACGTGGTAGACAAGGTACTACACATTGTAACTTTCTGTATTCTAAGGTACCTAAGTATACCTCAAAAACACAGATGATTACCAGTTTGAAAAGATACAGTGAAATGTACAAAAATATCACAGCAAACTTTAAAAAGCTAACACTTTTAAGGATTTCAATGGTCTACTGAGATTCTTATTTCAAAACAGATGACATTAAAGAAGTAAACCTTAAATCTTCATCAAAATAAATGTTCTATCATATACAGTAAAGGCTCCTGAAGCAATCAATAACTTGCAAAGATCTCCTGTCAAGCCTCATTCCGTGAAATCAAGGAGCAATTTTAAGGAAGTTTCCTGGCACATAAAACTTGGGTATTCTGGTCTGATCAGATACAAGTTGATTACAGTTCCTATTCAGTTACAGTTATTTAACACTGTCCCATCCACTTCTGTTTGAGTCCCTTGGAGCTTAAAAGCTCCCTGTAATTAGCAATCCTGCTCCTCAGCTTCAGTAACCAAATGACCCAGTGTAATTAGGAGATATCAGAAACACTGGTTTGCAGAGATTTTCTACTGGCAAAACGCCAAGCAGCAGATGTGCCTTCTCAACATCTTTTTGCGAATGAGGCAGGGGTGTGTGTTTTAAAATACAACTTTTTACAGTCCAAGGAAGACTGCCTTAAAAAAAAAAAATTAAGGCTGGGCATGGTGGCTCACACCCATAATCCCAGCACTTTGGGAGGCCAAGGCAGGCAGATCACTTGAGGTCAGGAATTTGAGACCAGCCTGGCCGACATGGCAAAACTCTGTCTCTGTTAAAAATACAAAAATTAGCCAGATGTGGTAGGGGGCACCTGTAATCCCAGCTATTTGGGAGACTGAGGCACAATAATCGCTTGAACCCGAGAGGTGGAGGTTGCAGTCAGCTGAGATTGTGCCACTGCTCTCCAGCCTGGGTGACAGAGTGAGACTCTGTCCCAAAAAATAAAATAAGCAGCCATAAAAACGATGTGTTCGTGTCCTTTGTAGGGACAGGGAGGAACCTGGAAACCATCATTCTCAGCAAACTGGCACAAGAACAGAAAATCAAACACTGCATGTTCTCACTCACAGGCAGGTGTTGAACAGTGAGAACACATGGACACAGGGAGGGGAGCATCACACACTGAGGTCTGTGGGCGGGGGGGACTAGGGGAGTGACAGTGGTGGGTAGGGAGTTGGGGAGGGATAATAAGGGGAGAAATGCTAGATATAGGTGATGGCAATACACACTGTCATGTATGTACTTATGCAACAATCCTGCATGTTCTTCACATGGAACCAGAACCAAAAATGCAATTTTTTATATATATATATATAAAATTAATTAAAAAAGACAACTTTTACTATGTTTTCCTAAAATGGAAAAAATGATTAAAACATTGTCTATGTAAATAGCCTTTCATTAACGTTAAATTGTTCACAAAAATAAAGGCATTCTAACATATCCTTTTGGGATGGATGGGTTAGATTTGTTCTATTCTTATATAAATAGCTTTATTTACAAAAACAGCTTTAGTAGCACAAAATAAAAACCAACCATTGCAATACAAACTCAGATTTAAATAAATTCAAATAATCTCTTGCTTAAAAAATGGATATATAGCGAGGGCCTGTCCCCACCCCGGTTAGTCCCCTAAAAGAGGAAAAAAATGAATATAGAATAATGATGAAAAAGTATGAAAACCCAAAGGATAGAAACTTGGCTGAAAATAGTAAAGATCACAGAGATGGTGGATGCTTTTGGCTAATGTCACAAGGCTTCAAAATACTAAAAAACAACAGAATGATTTTGAAAATCAAGACATTTGTAGACATACTGATGGCTCAGGAAAAAAATTTTTTTATTTTAACAGAATGTGACATTAAAAGTGGTTGTTAGTGGCACTGGATTCTAATACAATGTGCACGTGTGTGTGTGTGTGTGTGTGTGTGTGTGTGTGTGTTAGGTGTTTTATATTAATATTAATGCAGGTTAAACAAAATGTCAAGCTCTAAGTTTTATGTGGGCCAATATCCATTAAGAAAATTAATTATCACATAAGGCAATGTTCTGAAAACATGACTACAGAATGAAAAGAAGTAACATCGTAAAATACTAAAGAGAACTTTATGTTAAGGGGAAAGCAAATGAATCCTCAGAAAATAAACTAAGTCATGCGAAGTCCTCAAAATTCAATAATCATAACAAACTCAACATCATGTAGCCCAATAATTACACCGAGACAATGGTCCACCATCTAAGCATAGGGGCTGACAAACTATAAAATGCCAAAGAGCATTAATAAATATCTTTGGCCAAAGATATGGGTCATACAGTCTGTTTTGTTTCTTCAACTCTGCTGCTGAAGTGCAAAAGGGGCAACAGACAACAGGTAAACAAATGAGCCTTGCTGTGTTCCAATAAAACTTTGTTACTTTCTTTCAAATATTTTAGATCTGTGGTCCGTTGAATCCACAGATGTGGACCTGATAAGCTGACTGTATCTCAACTCTTCATTTGTGAAGTGGCAATAGTAACCACTCCTTCCTTCTGATAAAAAACACCACAGACACAAAGCCAAACTAATGTATGTGGTTTAGAGATAAGACAACAAAGTCAGAACAATCCAGAACCCTGGAAAGAACAGCTTATTCCAGATAAACGAATGGGTGTTTACTTTTTAGACCTGCTAGAACATTTCAAGTGCATCGTAACTTCTGAGGGATGGGTAGGTTTGAAAGTCAATGCAAAAAGTCTTAAATATCTGAACTAGCGTTAACACAGTACAATTAAAACTACACTTGAAAGTTTCTCTACAAGCTCAGAAAACAGAACTGTGCAACAGTAATTCCTGTGCCTACAAAGTGAGGAGGACTAAAGGGAGGCAAACAGAAAGCCCGTGCGGGTGTTTGCCCCACATCCCGTTATTCCATTAGGGTCACAGCCCTTGGGGAGTGCAGGTGGGTAGAACCCTAGTGCAGCCACAGGACCGAAGGGCAGACATTATTTTGCTTTAATACTAAACCGCTATAATTGCTTCACACTTGTTAAAAGATGTGTTACTGGGCTGCATGTGGCGGCTCAGGCCTGCAATCCCAGCACTCTGGGAGACCAAGGCAGTGGGATCACCTGAGCCCAGGAGTTTGAGACTAGCTTGGCCAACACAGTGGGACCCCATTTCTTTTTAAAAAAATTATTGTATATTTTATAATAAAAAAATTTAAAAAGATAAAAAAAGTGTTACTTAAGGAGAAACCAATGAAGTTCTGAATAACAGATTAGTTCTACAATTAAATCTCCATTTGATGTAATTCCAATTGACCATACTAAACACTTGAATCAGTTCCCAAAGTTAACGTTCTCCTTTGCTTTAAACAGAATATCCTGAATACAGGGACTCATCTTCAACGTGTCAGGTCCATGTTGCCACTATTGGTAACTAATGACTGACCATGACGCGGCGCTATGGCAGTGAAGCTCTCGGCGCCTACTGAGATGACTAAGGATGTGTGTCTACACTACATGAGCCCAGCTTTTTCAGCCACTCTACTTTTTATATTCAAAGTTTCCCATGTTAATCCAGCAAAGCATGTATTTAAAATCTTTAATTTAAAATACTGTGGTAAATGCATACCCTAGGTCGTACCAAGGCTACCAGGAAGCCCTGTGCTGTTTTCTGTGTAGCAGTAACTCATTCCCATGTAGGTGTCCTTCCACTGGACACGTGTCACTGTCTCAGTTGTGGAGGGACATGGAGAAGCAGGTTAGTCAGAGGGCGGTGATGTTAACTTATCCCAATGTCGCCTATTCTTTCACTGCCTCAAGAACGAATCCCTGAGGATACTAAGGAACACGTTACCAATTTAGAAACAAATAATCTGGAGCGAGTAATTCTGTTACCTGAGTCAAAGAGAAATCAACGATCCAATGCACCAACTTTCCACCTCCACTAATCACTCCTTTTCTAGGTTTCAACTTTGTTTTACCAAAAGAAGGAATGGCACTCCCGTCTTCTCCTGTGGTTGCAGCGTGTTATCCCGAGCGCCGGAGACGCGTCCTGCAGACCTGACCACGGTGCACACAGCCTGTGCGTACGTGTGCAGCCTGACACCAGCAGCCTGGGCAGCCCCTCACCTCTCTGCTTGGAAGGCTCCTCCTCCTCCGTCGGCTCTGATGGGTCGTAATAGTCGCTACCGTAAGTGAACCCCACGGCATTGTAGCTCCCATCCTCTGCTAGTGCTTCACTCAACCTCTTGTATTCTTCCTCTTGAATAAAAATGAGAATCTTATCAACAAAAATAGAAAATTACTGAGAAAAGCTTCACATATTTCTAAAGTTGTAGCTATCAGTCAAGCATACAACATATTTTTTTCAACCTCCTTTTGAGGTAAAATATTTTCAAAAATGCACGCTTGTATCTATCAATATGTACTTTTGTCAGTACATGTTTACCCACAGACAGCTGAATACACGTCTTTTGTGGAAAATTTCTTCCTGCTGAGAAAATTTTGGGATTAAGAACTATATTAAAGACTGTTATGGCAAAGACAAGAACATCGATTTTATTTATACGATACTGGTAAAGAAGAACAGTTAGAGAGTTTGGTTTTTGTTTTTTTCAAACCCCAGTCTGCCCTCAAAAGCTGGGAAAATTCTTTGTGGCTCTATATATAAACTATCCTGAGGTCCTCTCAGAACGCAAAGACTCCTGTTTTTCCAATCCACTGGGTACTGTCAAGATAATATCAGAAAGAGTGAGTATAAAAAATGAATGGGAGTAAATTTTTAAATACTTAAAAAATTTTTAAAAGTTTGTGGCTTAAGTAAGTTTGTCTTGAGCAGTACCTTGCCTTGCCTCCTCCTCAAGCAAGTCCGTATGCAAGGCTAAATACCTCTCTTCATCACACAGGGCCTCTATTCGCGCCTCCTCTTCAGACAGCTGATAATCTCTGTTCCATGTGGAATACTCAGCATCGTACTCAGAAAGGTCATGCAGGTGACCACGTCCATCATATCTGTAATGTGAACAAGCTGGTCAATAAAAGGAAATTAACGTCTAGACTGGTGTGTGTGTGTGATGTTTTACATATATGTATACACACATACTTACCAATTAAAATAAAATAGAAATATTAAAACAAGTATAAAAATTCTCCCCAGACTTATATTTAATTTGGATAGTCATATCTCACCTACTTTTAAACTCAAGTTATCTTAACAAAGTCTAAAAAATTCCTTTCCACAGTAAGATAAAATTTATAACTAAAGGCAAACAATCCATTATTAGCAAAAATGGTATCCACTTCACTGGCAGTTCTTACCATTATGGTTTGGTCAACCATTCAATGCCACTTGCAAAAAATTATTATTTTTTTCTGAAACGTTAAATATCATAGCTTACATTCACACAAACCAAATACATAAATACCTATCCGTAAGAACCAAACGGTCGAAATTTCCTCGCTTCTCTCTGCTAGTCCCGAACTCTCAGGAGAGATCTTCACCAAAGAAACTTGCGTCCATTGGAGGTAAAATCTTGGCTAGGCTCGCCCCCTAGCCACTTGGCTGAGGAAATAAGTGCTGGGTTACGTGATAGAGAGACACACATACATCGGAACAGTGACATATACATGCAGTTTAAGGAGGTTCACTGGGAACAGAGCAAAACTATTAGAAGATACGGTATTAATATTTCCTTCCGAACTTTATACCCGCAGGAAATAACATACATGAAGACACATCCACGTTTTCTTGCATAGACCAAACAGTAGTTTAGCCAAATAAATAATGGGAGCACTTTCTGCTATGCTTTTCACATAAAGGACCCAGTGAGGATGCTGTCAACATGTAACTGTCAGATAATGAGTTCGTGAATTTTACTTAAAGCACTCAGATTTAGGATTTCAAAAACAAATGCAGAGAAACAAACAAAAGTCTGCCTAATTTTTAAATGCTGACTTTTGTAATGGGAACCAAAAATATTAATGTAGACCCAAAAAAGACATTTACAGGAAAAAAGCCAAAAATTCCATGGGAGTCAAGTGACTGCATTTTATTAAATATCAAAATTATTTGACTTTGATGTAAACCTCCTTAACTTACAAATGTAGATTCTTATTCAAAATGTTACACTTGTACATGTGCAGCGTTTGCTCCCCACCCGTTTTGGAAGACCTAACTCAAATCATGTACAGAATGACAGGAAAACTGTACAGAGAGCTCAGACTTCATCGTTTACCAACCTTTAATGATAAATACCACAAGTGACACTTTGGAAAAGCAAGCCTGATAACTCAGGCGACACATTCAATATAAACCAAGGTGTGAAGGCACAGCACGCTTGAGCAGAGGGCAGAGCCATCAGATCCGGAGATGATCTGATTCCACAGCCCTCCCTCTACCAGTTCTTGTTTTCTAGCTCTAACTCCAAGTGGAAACCTCAAGGATGGGAAAAGGCCTATCTGGTCATTAATGTGTCCATTCTGGCCAGCTCAGAGGTCATCCCTACAGTCATGTTCCAGGGCTTTGCAGAATCCAGTTTTAATGGTCTCAAACGATGGGCTGTCTTCACGTGGAGAGACTATTCCACAGTTTAATGGTTGGTCATGGTTAGCTTTTCAGTCCGGGCCCCAGAAGTAGCCGAACAGGCGAAAAAGAAAAAAAAACCACCCCACAACAACCTCAAAACCCAGAGAGGCGGGGAAGGGGGACTGAAAAAATGGAAGGGAATAGGGGAGCAAACTACCTACATCATGTAATGTCATCCTTTTCAAATCAAACGCCTTTAGAAATCCGTAATCCCAGGCCCCTGCTGCCCATAAGCGCTAGATACCCTCCAGAGTGATGACCTGAAGCAGGTTTGATTTGAAAAGAAACAACACATCTGTATCCCAGCTCCACCCTTCAGTTTTAAGAGACAGTGAAACCAGCCCTAAGAACACTCTCTCTTCCAAGAGCAAGGCCAGGGTCCGCACGAAGTCAACTGGCCGCACACTGGGGGGCAACTGCGCTCACTACCTCAATCTCTCAGACTCGTCGGATTGTCACCTGGGAGGGGGCCGCTCCGGGCAGTCACACGTGAAGCCGGCAAAGTGCGGCGCTCCACCGAGGGCGCTGGGGACATGACCGGTTAAGGCTAACTCACAGGGTCCGGCTTCTAACTACCGGCTGAGTGTGCGGCGGTTCGGAAGAATAAAGGCATGCCTCCCAGGCTGCCCTCCTAGTACACCGAGCGGTGGGAACGCGGCGGGGGGAGAAAAGCAGCGCACGACCCCATGACACCGCCGGGCGGCAGGCCCCGGGGCGCTCAGAAGGAAACCCCGGACACCGGCAGCCTTCACCGCGCGGAGTCGCCAACTCCAGCCCAGCGACAGGGGTGAGGGGTCGAGAGGGGCTGCGGGAGCAGAGACGATCCCTCCGGCGACGGACGCGGCGCGCAAGTCCAGCCAGTGACTTAGGGCAGGTTTCACCGTCCCCTTCCCCCCACACCACAAGAAAGAGGTGGGGACAGAAGAGGTGTCCCCCAGATCCCCACGGGCTCCAGAAAACTCTCTGCAGTCCTTGCCATCAAGTCAACATCAGACGAAATCAAGCGGGTGAGGGAAGGGGAGGATCGACGGGTGGGGGGAGGAACCGACCTGTCGATGAGGATCTTGTGGTCCCCCATCCAGGGGATGAGGTGCTGTCCCTGTTCCTGAGCCAGGGCCCGCTCGTCGTCCCGGAACAGCTTGCAGGCATAGCCAAAAACCAAGAGCTCCACTCGGTTCCCCCCACCGCCGGCGCCGCCAGGCCCGGCCTCCTCCTTCGCTCCGCTTTTCCTCTCGGGTTTGGCGCGGCCCCCGCCCGCGCCGTACATGACAGCGTCCCCGGCGTCCAGGCTTGTCCTCTTCTGTGCCGCACGACGTCCCTGATACCTCCACTTGGCCTACCCCTTCAGTCAAAGCCGCCGCATCGCGGACCCAACCTGAACACTGCCGCCATAGCGGGCCACAAAATGGTGGAGGCGCAGCTTCCGGCAGGGGGGCCCGCACTTCCGGTCGAAGGACCGGCAGATTCGCGATGGCTCGGAGGTGTTTTAGCCGCTAGAAAATACTTTGGCTTTAATTTCTGCACTAAGATGCGTCGCCCCAACAGGAGCTGCTGCATTCGGTGGAAAGCGCAATTTTAATGTCCGTTTTCTAGGACAGCCGTCAGGAACGTGACGAAAGCGCGGCGTGGGATCGAGCGCCGGTTTCCCGGGCGGCCAGTCAGGCGGCCACGGAGCGGGAGGGACGGAGGGAGGGCCCGGCGCGCTCCGGGCTCGGGCGCGTCCTCGCGGGTGGCGGCAGCCCGCGCGCGTGCGGAAGCCTCGGGCCCCCCCGGGCCGCCGCGCCCCTCGCCGTGTCCGAGTCTCCGGGGCCGGCCGTGCTCTGCCCGGGGTGGCGCTGCCCTTTTCCGTTGCCCCGTTTCCTTCTCCGTCCCTGGGGGACCTGGCCGGCGACCCGCCCAGCGTTGAACGTTTCCGAGGCGGCAGAGGGCCCCGCGCCGTAAATCCCCCGCGGGCGGCGGGATTTCGGGGCTCTGGGACCTGGGTCCGGAGGAGGCGGTCTGGCGGTGCAGGGGGACCCCAGGCTGGAGACTGGCCTCCCGAATGCAGCGCGGTTTGCTGGGTGTCTTTCCTCCCGGGCCGCGGTGTCCCCCGAGGTGGTTGCATTAGGATCTTTCGGCCCCTTTCAGCTCAATCATTCGAAGTCAGACAGGGAAGGGGGCGGGAGGGCAAGACCGTAGGCGTTGGGATCGGATACCCCCGTGTCTGCCCTTGACCGGATCCGGGCCTCAGATCCCCTGTCCATGAACATGGCCTCTTTCTACCAGTGATGTTGACGTGAGATGTCGATGAACTGACTTTTGGAAATGAAGAAACGGGCAGGTCCCACCAAACATCTTTTGTTCCGGTTTCCCCTGACCGGGTCATGCTTCTGTCTTCATTTGTCAGGTCCGTTTCTCAGCCTGGCCTGGCGCGTCTGCGTGGTCCGGAGTTCCCCCTCACTGGTGGCCCACTTGTGCCTGCCGGTTTGTCTTTGTGCCACTCATGCCCACCTTAGGTTACATCCGATGTTCGGCATCCCACTAGAATTAGCTTTAGGAGATCACCTTCGCATCTTCAGTGCTTAGAACGGGGCTTAGCACACTGTGGGCCACATACTGGTTCACGGCTGTACAACGGGCTGGGACAGCAGCAAACATGCCTGGCCAGGCCGTCGTCTTCCTGTCTGACTCTGCTCTGCTGCTCTGCTGCTGCCGAGGAAGATGGACGCGTCTTGGTAAAAACACTGTGGGTTGCCCGCAGGCATATACACTAGTCTGTTGGGGTGCTGGGCTCCCTCTAGGCTTTCCCTTGGGTTCAGGTGTGGGGTGCTAAAGCAAATGAGAAACAGGCCATTAGCTTGAGATCAACTCTAACACCAGTGCCTATGCAAGCAAACCAGAAGCCAATCAAGTATTGTCTCTGCTTCCATGTTGGGTCTATGAAAGCTTGTTCCTCGTGTTGCAGAGTGGAACTCTCTGAACCTCTTCTGTTTCTGCATGCTGCCTGATTCATGAATTGTCATGCCTCAAATAAACTTGAATATGTTTTGTGTAAAGTTTTTTTTATTAACAGTTCTGGTGTGAGAAATGCGATCGGAAGGTCCCCCATCCCCTCAGTGGTGGCCCCTGGGAAGAGTGAGTAGGCAGGTGCAGGTGCTTCATTGTGCAAGGCAGTTCTCCGGATAGCCTTGGGCCTACCCACTTCTACCTTTTCCTTCGTAGTTTTCAAGAGTAACTGCATAACACGCTGGGATGCAACATGCTGAGACGTGGAGGGACTGGCTGAAATAGCCCAGGCTCTGTTCCAGTTCTCCCCTGGAAACAGAAGGGCCTTCAACATGCTAGCCTAGTGATTAGCCACGTCCCTGACATGTGGTGTATAATTTGGGTGGGCTGCTTTCTGGGATCTCTTACCTGTGGTGTAAGTGAGGAATGTGCAGTCGAGACTCCATCCACCTGGGCAGCTTTCTGAGTGTTGGGGATCCTAGCCTTCAGTTGTCCCCTACCACCTGTCTGTTGGTAATAAGTGCACTGCATGTAAATTCCTGCTTATGAGAATTCAGAACAGGTTGGAAACCAGCGCCCAGTGGTCCTGCTTCACACACTGAGCCATTTGTGCTCGTGGCTTCTCACTGCACATTTGGAGGCCACCACTCGTAGGCCCTGCTTGGCTACAAACCCTGCAACTTGTGTCGAATTCTTAAAGTTTATTTGAGCATTTTAAATCTGATGCAGATTTAAATCTGGTCCAGAAGTTATGACAGAAACTGGACTGGCTGCAGTACAAGGCCTGTGGGACAGGACTGAGTTCAGGAGGAGGATTATGGTGGGAAAGGTTACGAGAATCCCGGGAATGACGGCTTCATTTGGATCCAGGGAGTCTGGAACTCCACCTGGGACTCCAGGCAGTTTCATACATAAGACCCATCAACCCAGAATCTGCACTCTTCCAGAGAAACGGGTGAACCTATCAAAGGTAATCTAAGAGTTCCAGTAGTCAAAGTGAGGACGTTTTCACCTAGATAAAATGGTTCACTTGCAAGACACATCAGAAAAGAAAGGATCTTTGCAAGACTAGGTCTGAAAGGAATCAAATAAAATATTAAGAAAAGAAAGGATAAAAAACACCTCAGAAACAACAGGATGTCTTTTCGATTGACATGCAGAGGCTTCTAAAAGGTTGAATGAACCAAAAATTGCCTTTCTAAATGACTTCTTACAGATAGCAAATGAAAAACTTAAGCAACTAATTGACGAAAAAAATTGTATTTTGATGGATTGAACTCACTGTACACTCTATCCTTCTCCGCCTACTCAGCATCTTCTAACCTCTTACCTCAGTTACCTTCCCGCCCAAAGACAAAAAGCAACCTAAGCAAATGCCTTATATAGTCAGGCCCTCAGGTCAATAAGTCTGCTGCTTTAATTACTGTTACGTCTTGTTCAAAAATCTTGAGTTCAGAGAAATAGTGAAAGTTTTCACTGTCCCAAAGGAAAGCCCCCCAAATTTTCTCAGGTAAAAAATTCTCGTGGAGTATATGATCTAGGATTCCTGATGTTTCCCAATTTATTACGTGATACTGAGACTGGTGATACTTGTAAATGGATGGCTGAGGCCAGATGGGAGGTGCCTGAGAATGTTATCAAGGATCTAACCATTCGGTCTTTCAGGGATGGACTGAAAAGGGCTAGGGAAATCTCTGACGTCAAAGTAAAGATCAGAGGATCTTCAATTTGGGAAGGAGAACTTTATTTTTGAGGAGGGTGGCAAAGTACAGACTGGGAAGCAGACTCTGAGGCAGAAAGGCACTTGGCAGAAGGGTGGGACAGGAGTTTGATGCTAGACAGGTTGGCTAAACATACGTATTTCACAGGCTATAAAAGGAGCTATGAAGATTTGTGAAAGGGGCTTGCAAGGATGTGTAGTAAGTAAACATTGACGTTACATGGTCCCAAGTTCACTTCAGGGTAGAGACTTCACATTAAGATGCAATAAAATTAGTCTACAGGTCAAAAGGCGAAACGCAGGGTGGCTTGAGCCTAGAAGGTCGAGGCTGCAGTGAGCTGTGATTGTGCCACTGACTCCAGCCTGGGCGACAAAGCGAGACCCTACAAGACCTTGTCTCAAAAAAAAAAAAAAAAAAAAAAAAAAGTAAATAGGCCGGGTGCAGTGGCTTACACCGGTAATTCCAGCAATTTGGGAGGCTGAGGCTGGCGGATAATGAGGTCAGGAGATTGAGACCATCCTGGCCAACATGATGAAACCCTGTCTCTACTAAAAAAAAAAAAAAAAAAAAAAAAAAAAAAAAAAAAAAAAAAAAAGAAAAAGGAAAAGCAAAAGAAGAAGAAAAAAAATTAGCTGGGCATTGTGGTGTGTACCTGTAATCCCAGCTACTTCATAGGCTGAGGCAGCAGAATCGCTTGAACCAGGGAGTTGGAGGTTGCGGTGAGCTGAGATTGCACCACTGTACTCCAGCCTGGCAACAGAAAAAGACTGTCTAAAATAAATAAATAAATAAAGATTCAAGAACTGTAAAAATCTAAGAATATACATGCAAGTGTGTGTTTTCTAAAATTATTTTCATGCAAGTGTGTGTTTTGTAAAATTATTTTGAATTGACACATCATGTACATATTTATGGGTACAGTGTGATCTTTTCATTGCATGTATTCAATGTGTAATGATCAAATCAGGATAATTGACTCTCTAGTAGCAGCCCAAATGAAAACAAAATCAACAAATTGTTAGAAAAGGAATTCAAAATAATGATCTTAAGGAAACTCAACAATACACAAGGAAATACAGATGGACAATCCACCAAAATCTGGAAAACAATTCAGGATATGAACAAGAAATTCAAGAAAGCAATAGAAATCATAGGAAAAAAAACCCAACCAAACAAAAATCCAGCAGCTGATGAGTCCAATGAATAACATTAAAAACACTATAGAGCTTCAACAGTAGACCTGATCAAGCAGGAGAAAGCATTTCTGAAAATTGAAATAGGTCATTTGAAATTATCTAGTCAGAGAAAAAGAATGAAAAAAAAATTAAAAACCTATAAGACATGGGACACTATATCAAGTGCACACACACACAAAGTTTGCATTATGGGTATTCCAAAGGAGAAGGGAAGAGAAAAGACATAGAAAATCGATTTCATGAAATAATAGCTGAAAGGTTCCCAGATCTGGAAAGAGATATAAACATCCAGATCCAGAATGCTTGAAGTTTCCCAAATAGATTCAACCCAGAAAGGTCGTCCACGAGGCAAATTATAGTCAAAATGTCAAAAGTCAAAGGCAGAAAGAATTCTAAAAACATCAAGAGTTTGGGCAAGAGGCCAGGCTCATGCCTATAATCCTAACAGTTTGGGAGGCCGAGGCAGGCAGATCACTTGAGTCCAGGAGTTCAAAACTAGCCTGGGC